TTATCTTGCGGAACAATCATGAATGTTTCCCTCTCAATCACCTAGTGATAACGTGGAAAATTTTCACATTCGCTACCACGCAACTTAAGAATGTAGAGTATTCTTCTCTAATGGAGTAATCCATTAGTAGGCACATCGCTCCCACTGTCCCTAGGATATTGGAAATTTCTTTCCATTCTCAACTAGGCTACATAAAGCGCTATGCTTAGAATTCTCTATCTTATAGAGTTCCAAAACTCTATTCACGTCACCTTTACTAAGAAAACTTTATATGACTTAGTTACACTACCACAAAGCTGCTTACCTATATGCACATGACCTGGAGGGTTTGCATGACCTCATACAATAATGCGCCACATGACCCTTTGTGTTTACAAGACAGCATACAATAATGCGCTATAGAACCATAGGTCTTAACTTCGCAATCTTATGAGAAGTAAAATAAAGATAAGCTGCTTAACGGTTATAGATCGCCCATAAATGGCTCTCCGCTAACCCATTACTCAAATGGAGTGTAAAATCTGATATGGAGGGCACTTAGTTAGGGATATAGGCAACAAACTAGTGCAATTCCCAATTGGGAAACCTTTTGCGCCATTATCCACCTAACATTAACAACATTTAATTCCTTATCTCTACTACACCATTGTGTTGTTGAGTACTAGGAATAATCAATTTTCTAAACATCCATCTCTCTTCACAGAGCTTTCTAAAAATAACTCAAATAGATACTCGCCACCTTGGTCAAAACTAAAAGCACAAAAGCTCTTATCTAATTGATCTCGACCTCATATGTGCAATGTCAAAAAATATCTTAAAACTTTTGACTTATGGGAGATCAAATAGTCTTGACTCAGATGCGTATCGTAATCTATAAATGTGTCGAGATTAAGGCTTAGCTATCATACCCTCACACATATCTAGTCACAAATATTATAGTGGACTAAATGCGCCAATACAAATGACCTTCTATGGCTTTCCTACTTACTTGTGCGCAACCATTGCGAACAAAGTTACACATTCACATGAGAGCAGGATGTCATAAGCGAGTGGGCCCGAGAAGGCCTACTCAAATCATCATGTCATCATCTCATTTAATGTGATTAAGTATAATTAAGCCACCAGTTTATGACCAATGTCATAAACTAATTCCAATCATCTTAATGTGTGAGTTCTCGAAGACAAGTTTAAAAGGTTTAGGCCCAACTAGGTAATGACTCACGACTAATTCATATTCACTAGATCATAAAAGGATGTCACGGAGATATCAAGTGCGCCTAAGTCACAAATTTAACTAGTAAGTGCTAATCCCCTGCACCTTAAAGTTTATTCTCCATACACTTTATTGCATCTAGTTGAAAGATGACGATACTCTTCTTGCCATCTCTATTTCGCACTTCATAGTTACTTGCAATTAATTCTACTATCCACTAGAATGAGAGAATAAGCTATCAATCTATGACAGCTCTTGAAGTAACTTAACCGCGAATTAGGCTGAAGAGTCTAATTCAACACAATGCTCTCACAAGCGATGCGCCAAATTCTTAGAGTCATAACAACCTTGTCGGCCTTGACCTTTTCATTATTATGCTGTAACGTTTGCGCTTAGTGGTAAACGTTATTAAAAAATGTTAGCCTAGCTAAGGAATCATACAAAGAAGCCCCTCCTCATGTCTCACACTGAAATTAGGGAAGAACTGAAATGAAAAAGGCAATCCAATACAAAGGAAAACACAACCGCTTACTTGAAACGCTTGGGATACAGTCTCGAAATAAGGTAAGAGTTGAAGTAAAAGCTGCTCAATTCTAGGGTTAAAACACCACCACCAACCAAAAGATAGACTCATACTTGAGATAAGTTCTCGAATTCTGGTTTAGTACCTTGGTGCCCCAAAGACACCCCGAACAAGAAAAATCACAAGGAAGAGATTACAAATGCTTTTTCGACCTACATGCTCATTGAGGTCAAAGACACAACGGACAACAATAACTCCCCAACCGACCACCGCGTACACCACGACCACCAAATGACCAAAACCCAAATTTCAAAGGGGAAGGAAACCACCATAAAACCAAAACCCAGCTGACATCGACAAATACAAATAATACACTACAATGCATAACCCGATACAACAATCCCCGATAGCCTTACACTTAGCATCATTTCCAATTCTTTATACAACCCTGTAATTAAAGGTAAAATAGTGAAAATCGTTCATGTATATATGTAGTTTTCTTTCTCAAAAGGTATTCCAACTTATAATGTTTACCATTAAAACACATTGCAATCCATAATTTCCATAATCATTTTTTTTTTCCAAAACAAGAAGTGTTATTTAGAATACCAAACCAATTACATCCTCATGACTTGTCCATATTTAGTTTCCATTGAATCAATAAGCTATTCATTAACACAACTTAGATTAAATCTTTAGCATTTAGTTTAACCGTGCCATTCTAGGCCACAATACAAGGAAAAGAAAATTTCACTTTCCAAATTATTCGCAACATTTACCCGGTGAATTCCAACCATCACCCAATAACCTCCGTCACCCATCCGGCGACATCACAACACATTTACCATACATACTGGTAATAACAACGAATAAAAATGATCACGGTGCATCCGAGGAGTAATACAACACATATGACTTCCTAAAAGTTGGAACTTCCTAACCATTACAAACATAAACACGGATAATCAATAATACACATTGGCACAAGTGTGCTTGTAACAATCTAGATTCTAACATGTTATCCTAACTCGAGGAATTCCACAAATTCACACCAATAACATATATACACAAGCAAAACTCAGCCTCCTCAATACCACTCAATCGCACCATTATTTATTTGAACCAAAGCAATTCCCAAGCGGACTAAATGTCAATTATCTTTGAATGGCACTCATTAAAACCACCAGTTTCAAACCAAACCAAACCAAAACAGACCCAACTATACCAAACCAATCCTTAAGTCTCGTCGAAGCGACCGCAAGGATCAATCTTCTCTATGAGACTTAGACCAACTTACCAAGTGATCACTCTCGTAGTTCAAACTTCGACATGCTAACCAACACCAATTGCCCCTA